GTTTGAGGCAACTAGCTGCTCCATGGGAGAAGGATGAACAATCTTCTCCCATGCAATTAACTGCCTCTCAAATCCCCCGGGAATCAGTTATGGGTCACTTCTGACTCTACGGTAAACAACAAGAAATAAAAGTGATATTGAAATTCAGCCTGTGCCTGAGAAAAAAATACACCCACCATTAACCAAAGGGAATTCCTGACTTCAGAGTTCCAAGCTTATGAACCTAGTCTACCCAAACACGTGCTATAGTTCAACATGCACATAAACTCTGTAAGGTGACCCTATAATTTAAGCTTAAGTTTGCCTTCACAAATGAGAAGTTTGGAGATACGGAACAGAGTCAGGAAATCAAAAGATGAATTGCATTGGGAAATTCTCCTGGCAGGGACCTCTAGACTACTAAAGACTAAGGTGTACCTGACACAGGCCATGACTTTTATAAGTACTTGCTATGCACCCTAGAGCTGGACAATAACTGAGGATGATTGAAGAAGGATAAAGGCCTTTGAGCTGTGGTGCTGAATAAGAGAGTTGAAAATCTTGTGGACTGCCAAGAGAATAAACAAATCTGTCCTGGAGAGGGTGAAACCAGGCGGCTACCTGCGGCAAAGATTTTGAAGCTTTGTATCACATGCTTTGGGCACATGGCTAGGAAGGACCAATCCTTGGTGAAGGACATCATGCTTGGAAGGATGGAGGTACAGCACACACACGTGAGTAAAACCCAGGATGAGATGGTTAACTCAGTAACTGGAGAAATGGGATTAGGTGGGTTTGTAGGAGACAATGAGATTCGCTCAGACTAGGGCAGGATTGAGAGCTATTATACATAGATTCTCTATGAATCATAGGTGACTCGATGACCCATAACAACAACATGGAAGTTAGAAGTTTTCATACTTCAAAAGCAACATAATTTCATACAATCCCAAAGTGCTATCAAAGTGATTATACACTTTCTAACCCATGCTTCCTAATATTCAATAGCATATTGGAAAAGTAAGTGTGGTAACCCAGAAACTTGCAGTCCACTGCTTAGGATAGAATGATTCAACAACTGCCCACAGAGACCAGGTGGGAATGAGGATATCCCAGCAGATGGCTCCTTAGATGAAGGAAGACAGTGAGGAAGAGATGTCCTCCCCTTCTATGATTTGGCTTTCTGTCTGCCTCCTGAAACTTAATACAATCTTAAGCCAAGGTGTGAATGAACCCTGAAAGGACTGATACTACATTTCTATCAGCTGGTTAGATAGGAATGAAAATAAATTCATTTAAGTTATAGAGAAAGAGCTCTGGTGGCCAATTGGTAAAGAGTTGTTGCCACCAACCTAAAGATAGGTGGTTTTGAAAGAGGAACAATCTTCTCCAACACAATTTTCAGCCTAAAAAGTAAAATAGTTCATAGAGGGAGATTGAGTGTCTTAGTGGTAAGGAATTATGCTGGCAAAACAAAGGGGTTGTGGTTTTTTTTTTAACTCCTGATTTTATTATTCTATTTCTTTTTTTTTTTTTCTATTTAAAGTAGTCTTCAGGGTTTGGGAAGTCTAGCTTCCCAAAACCAGAGTCAGTTGGAGCTGGTTGTTGTTGGAAAGGGGTGGATTGGGGGATTGGGATGGGGGCAGGGAGACCCCGCTCTGCTGGTGGTCCAGGATGGAGAAGAGGATCTGCACTTCAGAGCCTGGGGTGTAGTGGGAAAGGGATGAGGCAGGAGCAGCAAGCCAGGGAGAGTGACTCACCTCAGACCCCAGCTTCATTCTCTTCTAAAGTTTCCCCACTGGTGGCATTCTCTACAGTCTTGGAGGCCTTCTTTTTTTTTCTTTTTCTGAGTTTTCCGGCTTGCAGAACTCTGAAGGAGGGCCTTCAGCTCCTCATCCTGGACTTCCAGGTCAGACTTGTAGAGGTCAGGTTCAAAGGGACCACTGGTTATCCTCATGGGGCCACTGGGCATGAGCAGAACAGTAAATTTAAACTGGGCAACGAACTCACCCTCCTTCTCATAGAGAACATTAAATGGCTGTAGTAGTTCATGCTTGGCGCATTCCACCACACCCATCCGGGCCTTCTTTTCATCGTCAAATGCTCTTAAAGTAAATGGCATGTCATCAAAACGTCTTTCCACCTCACTGAAGAAGGCACGAGAAGTTTTCATTTTCAGGCCATATTGTTTGAACGGATCTCGTTTATAAATGGTAGTTCTCTGCCCTGCATCTTTGGCCTTTCCTTCTCCTGAGCTGACAAGAACATCCACAGCATATACCTCGTGTACTTCAAATGCATTCTTTTCATGGTCCTTCTTTTGCTGGTCTGTTGGATTTTGGATAATGGTTTTTTCTCCATCGATGACATGCTGCTTCAATTGGTGTGACAGCATACCTTCTATTGGTGTGCACTTAAATGAGTGGGCAACTTTATTCCAGGCTTCTGTCACTTGTGTGTTCTGGTTTCCAGGTTTGACCAAGCGTAGGGCAGCCTCAGCACAAAGGTGAGCTGCTTTAATGGCATCTGCTTTCCGCCCTGTAACTGGGGTTCCCTCCGCTACATCAACCACAAAAGTGTGGGCCACATTAGCAATGAAGCCATCCCCATGGACTCCAAGGTCAATTTTTACCAAATCACCTCCCTTGAGAATGTAATCCTGGCCTCTCTTCAAAGGGGAAAAGTGACATACACAGTTACTTACTGAAATGCTGGTAGGAAAGGCAATACCTTTCTTCATTTCCTTTTCTTTCTTGAAGATTTTCCCTGTCTCTTCCATAATCATGGCATCACCTTTTTCCCACAGGCTCAGTATTGACACACCTGAGCTGGAAGCTTCCACCAAAGACCAAAGAACCCGATTGGCGATGTCGCCCCCCATCTTATACTTGGTCACGACCAGGTCCTAGGCGATAGTTTGCTCTTGCTGCTCGTCCCCGCCCGACATCTTCCCACCACCACCACCGCAGTTTCGCTTGCCCTGAGCAGCCGCCTCTTGCCAGCCGCACACTATGGCCAGAGACTCCCTCAATCCGCGAGGAGAGCTCGAACGAAAGCGCGAGCAAGCAAGGGAGCGGGAGGGCAGGCGAGAGCGAGAATCTGCGAGCGCGCGGGCTGTACGCTCAAAGGTATTTTTAAATACACCAGCTGCTCCACAGAAGAAAGATGGGAAATGTCTTCCTATGCGATTTATTGCCTCTCAAAACCTACTGGAGGTTCAGTTATGAGTCCTTTCTGGTTCCTGGTACACAAAAACAATAGCATACAAATGTATATTGAGCTTAAATACTTGAAAACTTGGGATAATTTAGAATATATTTACATAATAATAAACTTGATAGACTTGAAGAAATCAATGGCAAAGAGAATTAATGGGAAGTATCTAACAATTTGTTGTTGTTGAGTATCTTCCAGTCAGAACTGACTCATAGCTGACCCTGGAGTGGTTTTCAAAGTAAATCACATGCGATATTGCCTATCTTTCTCCTGTGGAGCTGCTGGTAGATTTGAACTGTACACCTTTAAAATTGCAGCACAGCTACTTACCACTAAGCCACCAGAGTCCCCCAAATGCCAAACAATTTAAAACTAAGTAATAGTACCATTGAGTCAAAACTGACTCATAACCACACTCTTAGTAAACTGCCTAAGAGGAGATTATTCATCACTGGATTCAAACTACCTGCCTCTGGGTTGGCAGAACAACTCATTAGCAGATTCTTTATAGTTCGTCCATATCAACTCGTTAACTTTAATTTAATACTCTTAGAATATATAGACATTTATAAGAAGTGCCAGTATTGTTTTTTGCATGTTCCTAGCTACCTTCCCTAAGAGACTATTCTTGTTTTTGTACACCCTTAGGATCAACATTTTAAAGCAACTGCAAAATTATACTTCAGTTATACATCAGAAGTTTTATGGTGTACAAATGGAACTTTTAGTGGGTGCATATACTGCAAAAAGGACTAGAGACAATTATACTTGCAATTAAAATAGTGAGCTTTCAATATCACACTTTCTACTGTTACTACGATCGTATAACTAAATCTTCAGGTTTCTTTTGAAATACTATTCCCTCTAGGGCTTGAAGTGTGCTTTGGATTACATGCTACATCATCCATAGAAGGATCCAGAGGCCCCAAAACCTGTTAAGTCTCAGGCCTGCTTCTCTATAACCTGAATCCCATTAAAGGTTAGTCAGTATTGTATCTGGTCTGTGTACCTGGGTTGGAAACTAAATGGAGTATTCATAGCTTCTGTTTAAATAACAGAGATTTAAAATTCATTTGTCAGTTCATTGACTTCAGAGGTAGAGTTATATAATTTGAACTTCTCCCTGGATATAAGCAATTCTCTTTGTTTTTACTTGTTTTTAGATTCTTTCTAAAACCACAAATACTTAAGTCTCATTTTAATTGCTTAAAAATAGAATTAAAAAGAATAACTGTAGAGTCTCTGGATGTTAAAATGTTTTGCTTAGTCGCAGAGAAACGGTATAACTAGAAATAATCAAAATACTCTACCATAATGAGATAAAATATGAAAATATTAGACGTGTACATAATTTTTCTTACAAAGCATATATAAAAGATTTATATTCTTTTTCTTTTAAAACTTGCAACTGTGTTTACATTAATTACAAAACATTTTAAAATCTTCAAAACAAATTAAGAAGATAAAAATTTCTGATTATTTACTTACCTGTGAGATAGACTCTACATTAAAGTGAATAACATTAAAAAAAAAATAGAAAACACTTCATCAAAGACAACATTCACATGGATAACAAGCACATGAAGAAATGTTCAAAATCCCTAGCTCTAAGAGAGATGCAAATTAAAACCAATATCATCTCACCCCAGTCAAAATAGCAAAATTTAACAGAACAGCAAGCACCAAAAGCTGGCGAGGTTGTGGAGAAACTGGAACCATTACTCACTGTTGGTGGTAGTGTAAAATGGTGCAACCACTGTGGAAGGCAGTATGGCGCTTTTTCAAAAAGTTGCAAATAGAGATACATTTGACCCAGCAATTCCACTACTGGAAATATACCCCAAAGGGACCATAACTGACAACGAAGCAGGTATATGCACACACATGTTTATTGCAACTTTGTTCATAGTAGCAAAGAGTTGGAAACAACCTAAGTGCCCATCAACAAACAGATGGATAGAAAAGCTGTGGTATATTCATACAATGGAATACTATGCTGCATTGAAAAACAAGGAACTCATGCAATATTATTCAAAATGGTTGACTCTGGAGAACATTATGCTGAGTGAAGTATCCCA